ACCATGCAACTGAAAGCGTCGCTCAGCCCCCCCTCATGCTATCTACTTCCTGCGATTGCAAAGCCTGAGTGGAAACTGCTTGAATGTGCTTCCTCTGTGTCCTGATACTATTGATGACGCAGATATAGCAGGGGGCAGAGTAGAATCGGTTTGTCAATACCGATTACTGCCCCAAGCAATCTGTTTTAAACAGTGCTTTCAACTGACTGGCTCCAAGCACTGTTCAGCCGAGGAATTTCCAGCATGTTTCCTCAGCAAAAATCAATCGAATGAACAGGGTCACCAACGGAGCAAGTTTTGGACGATTAGTGTAGGTAGTGTTTTTTTTGCTTCACCAGATCAAAACACGAACCACAGTTCAAAATACACCACTCCCTCTTTAAAAACAGAACTTCCTGCAAATAAAATAAAGACATTCTGAACGCTTTGTACATTGCTTTGCACTGGCACCATCTTTTCCAGACCGAGTACAAGTATGGATACTTTTCTCGCCGATACCGATTACCAATTCTTTTTTTGTGTGTGTCATATGACAGTCTAATCAATAATACGAAATCACCTGCACTCTATACAGCGTACTGACCTTGAGTAAGAGGTTGGTGCTTTAAGTGACAACATGGATGGCGCCGTGTCAGATACAGTCCATAATAGAAGTCACCAGCACTCGGTGTGCAAGAAGTAAAAGCACTTTTTATTCAATCGTCACATGCGTCATACAGCCAACGTTTTCGGGGGCCACGCAGGGTCCCTTCTTTTGCCACTATGTCGCCCAGAAGAAGGGACCCTGCGTGGCACCGAAACGTTGGCTGTTTGACGCATGTGACGATTGAATAAAAAGTGCTTTACTTCTTGCACACATCGAGTGCTGGTGACTTCTATTATGGACTGTATATGACAATCTAAAACAATACAGACTAATAATTTTAGGACAGTGATGGAGCGCCAGGGTTGGGTCGGAGGTGCGACCACAGTAGTTCTGCCACTGACTCCAAGCTGAAGAGAGACTAGAAATCTCAGCAATACATTACACAGCAATGCAGAATGGCACCAGCTATAGATGAGTACAAATCCCAGCAATACATTATACAGCAATATCACCAGCTATAGGGGGACTACAAATCCCAGTAATACAATATACAGGAATGCAGAATAATAGTATATGAATTTTCTGCATACTCTGTTCTGCTCTGGTCTCAGGAGGAGAAGATGGGCGGTCTGGTGGAAGCGCTGTAAACAGGTGCCGCATGGTTCCCAAGAACGCTGTCGCGGGGTCCCCAAACGTGGAACCTATGGCAGCCACTTCAATTTCCATATCGAAAGTGCTGGAAATGGTGCATTTGCACAAGTATGAGTACTCATGCAAATGTCAGTATTGGCACCAATACTGGATACCATTACTAAAGAAAAACAAAATGTGTATTTTGTATTTCCATAAATTCTCTCCTGCTCCTAAAAGCTATATTGCACTTGGTTTGTAAATGTACTTACTGAAGATGCCTTTATGAGAACACTTCCTCACTGGATTGACACAATATCACCCTCATAATTCTCAGAGCCTGCCTTCTGAACTACAATTCAACGCCTGGACAATGTAACATTATCATTGCTTGTTAGAAGCAATGCATTATGGAATATGCAGTCTACAAAATCAAGACGACATCACATCAAGCAGCAGGGAAAGAGATGGAAAGCACACTGCGAGTCCAGGAAGTTGCTGAAAGTGATGGGCACACAGAACCCAGCAGACACTACATAAAAAGGGATTTTTTTTTCCCAAGTAAGCTTTTTGATTACATTATCAGAAACAACTCTAGTATGTATTCCTATTACAATGCTAATGGATAGTGTATGCTGGGATTTTAAAACTTCTTTAAAAAATATTCCCCATGGACTATTCTGTTATGACTGGTAGTTGTGTGCTAGTTGTTTGGACAGATCACACGGCTATATTTAGAGACAAGAGATGGCATTAGAGCCGAATTTGGCCAACTTTAAAGCATCATCATTTAGTCACTGGAATCTCAGATCTAATAAGAGCAGTAAGAGCAGGGCTGGACAAATCGCAGGAACCAGAGAGCCAATGCTCCTTAAACATTACAGCTGCCGCCTAACGTTTCTGGTTTTCTCCTGGAAAAGACAGACTGGCTCTTAAATTCCATATTAATTTGTCCTCACCTGAAAAATGAACAACATTAATAAAATGTTACCCAAAAAAATTATGATGGAATTCAGGAGCCAGCAGGATTTTTTTTTTTTTGAACGAGCTCTTTCTCACAAGAACAAAGGAAAACCTCAAAAGCTTCCCGGCCAATCAGGAAGCCAGGGGCAGGTAATGAGTCACCACTCAGCTTCCTGACTGGCCGAGAAGCTGGCCAACCAGGAAGCCAGGGGCGGCAAGTCATTACCCACCCCCGGCTTCCTGATTGGCCAGAAAGCCGACTGCTGACTTGGTTAGAAAGCCGCCTCCATGCTCCTTCCTTATGAAACATGGAGGCGGTATTCCAAGTGGATGGATATTAGGATTAGGAGCTTCATAAATGTAAAATGTTTTTTAGCAGACAAAAGCAAAGAAAAACAGAAAAGTACAGTAACCTATAGCATCAAAATTTCACATTACTATAGTCAGATGAATAAAACTGACATGGGTGCTCAGTAAATCCCTACTGCTCTTTGTCCAGATTTAATGAATAGGACTGTAAGAGTACATTACTGCTAATAGTGCATGTGACTAATATACTGTTTCACTGTTGTGGTCATATACACCACAGAATAACTTTCCTCAGGCAATGAAGCTTTAAATTCAGCTACTGAAAATTGGAAAAAAGTTGTAATGTCACAATAAGGGCCTGTGTCTGGCATCGGTTTGAAATGCTTCTGAGATGATTCAGAACTCAATGACAGGCTTATTTGATGGGCCGTTGACCTCCTCCTGACTTGCTTTAAGTAGGTTTTGCATTACCTTAGACTTGTACTTGGAAAGCAAAACCCATTTAAGGCCAACAAAGCTCATCAACACAAGTCCTTAGTCAAGATTTCTGATTAAGCAGAGGGTCCAGCATGTCAATCGCAGTTACATGCATGAATAATTGACAATCACTCCTGATTACGTTGCCTTATACAGAGCCACAGGGAACACAGGAAAGTCGCAATGAAGGCAAGCAAGTGCCCAAACCACAGAGGACCGCACTCCAGGGTTTGGCCAAGTATATGTGGGGTGGAATAATTTTTTATTCCCCCCCCCCACAGAAATTCGGGAAGATGCAGATCTAACGTTTTATTTCTGATTTTTGGTCTGCTTAAATGTTCCAGTATCTACCCACAATGGAAATATTTTTAGATGAATGAATATGAAATTCGGGAGCCAGCCTGGCCAATACAGGAGCCAGCAGGATTTTTTAGGAACCATCTCTATTGGCAACAATTAGAGAAAGTCAGGTGTAATTTTTAAGGAACATTGGCTATCTGGCTCCTAGGATTTGTCTAACCCTGGACTAAGGTTTTCTGGCACGGCAAGCACTGTCCATCTCCACTACATCCTACAGTGCAATGCGGCCAAACCACTGATAGTTGTTTACAATGTGGGAGTCAGTAATGTGCTTTAACTTTCTGAATCACTGAGACTTGCATAAAAGTTCAGGGCACTCCTGCATGCCTTCATGTCATTTGCTTACTTAAAGCAAATGACATAAAGGCATGCAGGAGTGCCCTGAACTTTTATGCAAGTCTCAGTGATTCATGTAATTGCTTGAAGTAATGTGTATACATTAAAAGGTTTTTAACTCAGGAGTTAAATCTTAAAAATGCATTCCAATACCTTAACTATTAAAGTATAATTAAAGCCTCCAGTGTTTTTGCATATATCTACTGCTAGCAAGCAGTAAATATATGCAAAAAAAGTATCAAAAAAAAAAAAGCAGTTTAAACTTGCCTGTGTCCTCCCTGCGCGCTCCCGTCCGAAAATGTGAAACTGCTCGGGCGGCCGCAAAGCATCTTGGGGCTGGCGCATGCGCAGTTCACATTTTCGGCCGGGAGACGAGGAGAGACACAAGGTAAGTCTATGGACGCGTGGCACCCGCATGCAGACACCGTGGGACAGGAAGTGCCAGCAAGGACACTCAGCTGTAGATCCTCAAATCATCACTGAATGGGTGCTGGCACTGTCCTTCATTCTGGAGGGTGGCTACTTTTGTTCCCCATGGTCCCTGTATGTGTTGTAAAGTAGCCACCGCTCCAAGCTCTCTCCTGGGTTAGACCACAATCTCATGTATACTTTACTAACTTGTATTGAGATTGTAGTCCATCACAGGAACGAGCTTGGAGCGGTGGCTACTTGACAACACACACAAGGACCATGGAGAACAAAAGTAGCCACCCTCCAGAAGAAACAGTGTCAGCACCAACTCAGAGATGATTTGAGGATCTACAGCTGAGTGATACACAAATAAGATCCAGTATTGTTAATCAGGGCTGCAGCTAACGATTACTTTCATAATTGATTAGTTGCCCGATTATTTTTTCGATTGCTTGTATTAAAAAAACCCTCTCTCTCCCCTAATCGATAATGAGTTGACAACTATTTTTATTATCGATTGTAATTGATTTAATTGATTAGTTGTTGCAGCCCTATTGTTAATAGTTAAGGTACTTTAATGCATTTTTAAGATTTAACTCCTTCAGTGTCACTTTAACCTATTGAGAAGTGTGAGAACAAAAAAAAGGCTGTCCTGTAGGTAGTGAAGTATGCGACAAAGCTGGCCACTAAGGTGCTTCTCATTACATCTTTCCTAGATGATTTTCCACTGGCGACTGTACAAATCTAAAAACAGACTGGAAACTAATAACAAAAGGAATGTCAGAAAAGGATACCTGCTTTCCAGTGAATGCATTGTTCCAAAAATGCGGCATGCAACGGTTTTCTCAAGAAAAGGGTAAGGTTAAATCAGAACAGGGAACACATTATGACACCAAAAGCCAAACCATGAGAAAACACAAAAACTTACTCAAAGGCAAAGAAGAGTCCACTTGTGACCAGAATTAGGATAAGAGTGAGGTAGAAGACTCCAGTTTGTCTGGCCATCATAACCCTGCCATTGCAGTAGAACTTGTTCTTGCCTGGGAAAACCTCCCATTTTCGCTTTACAGCAGTTTTGTTCTTTTTATGAGAAGATTCCATGGGTGAGCTTCCACGAGTGTTAATTTCACTGTATCCGCAGTCTTTCATGGGCCCACCTCCAGGAGTCATCCGTAATCGAAAAGTGCCCAAGACAACAAAAGCGTGTAATCCTGGCCAGTAAAAAGGCATACAATCCACGGATAGGCAATTCCCAACAAAGCAGTTTGTACTTCGAATAAACAAATAAGCCAGAATATGGATCACTAGGAATACATCAAGTTCTTCTATGTTGAGCCTTCCTAATTTTGCTTTCATTTAACAATAAAAGGTACTTAGGGCCTTTACGATCGATCTCTTCTGTATTCTTATCCACTCCAATATTGTTTGACCGCTATCAAACAGGTGAAATGCACGGGAGTTACAAAGGAAAGAAATCCGGCGTGCGGTCTTTAAGATGCAATGCGTTTCTTAGTCTGTCTCTACGAGTTTGCAGACTATTTTCATAGGAGCGGTGCAAAGGTAACTTTTGTTTCTCCTCGCAGCAGAAAATGGTTGCTTACTGTTCTTTAAAGATTTCAGCAGCTACCAAACCGTTTCCAATAGGCTTCCACCATCACCAGTCGCTTGCAACTCAAACAAAGCACTAGAGGCAAAAAAAAAATTAAAAATAACAGTGCAAGCCCGGAGAAACTTTTCTCATCCTTATTTGTTCCCACAATTCGTTGCGGGGAAATTTCGGATTCCGTAAATAATTTCACACATAAAGAAAAAATCCCATCTTGTATTCCAGACTAGAGGCCAACAGAGAGCAGGAGGGTATTTATAGCAACAAAACAACTTGAATCTGCAGCAAATTCACCACCTTTCCCATAAGATCTAAAAAAAAAAAAAGTTTCTATTTAGGTTGCTTCCTGTTACACCATAATCCTCTCTCTTCCTTAACGACCAACGAAGACTCAAGTAATTACATACTGGAGGAAACGGCAGAAAAAGTCCAACTCGAAAAGAACATCCGACTTAAGTCCTACAGACTACAATGGTTCATATCCCTTCATCAATCCTTTGTGTCTCTCAGACAAATAAGGGTGGAAAATCCGATCGTAGGACAGCCTGTCTGTCAGAGGCATCAACAATGATCCACGGGGATCCTTCCTTTCAAGATATGTTCTGCATTCCACAACGGCTCAATCTGGCTTCTATGAAGTGACGGAGGCACGAGCTAACGAGAACATCACCACGCATATTTTGTCCTACAGAACAAAGAAACAATTAAAATAGAATAAAAAAAAACAACACTGTACACATGTAAGAACTATATAAGACACAAGTACAAGGCAAACCACAGCCACATGTTGCTTGCTTCAGTGCTGCTCCGTACCAGTCTCTTCATAACCTTTGCTGTGGTGTGTTTACAGGTCTCCAAAGCTACAGCAATGGCAGCGACTGGCGGATGGGTGGACTATACGAAGTAAACCTCAGACGTGAACAGAAACTGAAAACGATCATGAGGTCTACTCTTTATATGTTGAAGTCAGGGTACTCTGTGTAACCATGTTTTATATATACCTGAAACAACACTGCTGCAATATGAAAACGACAACACCCAAGACCCTCAAAAACAAAGATCCCAGGGGTCAGGGTGTTGCGTCTTTCTCCTGTTACTGCATTTTATAAATGATAATGCTGCACAGTGTGGCCTGTGAGGGCTTTTATCCGTGGCCAGCATGCAAGGTGGTGCTGTACTAGTTTGGGTTCATTCTGGAAATGATACCATCGAAATGAAACATAGGCCCCTTTCAGACGGGCGGTCCGGTCAAGTATGTCAGTTTTTCAGGCGGACTCGATCGGATGCCTAATGCTAGTCTATGGGCAGCTGGGCCTCAACGGACGGGCATCTGTTATCTCCGCCTCCAGCCAGGTCCAGAAAAACAAAAAGATCAGAGATCCATTTTGGCGGACATGATCGTGCCGATCGGGGGGTAATCTGATGTAAATGGACACATGTCCCTTAGTTCATTCGCCTATCGCAAGATGGACGAAAAAACTGTAGACACGGATGTCACGATGGTGACATTCGATCTGTACAGCTCCGATCAGGATTCCCTCCTGATCAGCCTGTGTGAAAGGGGACTTACAAGCAGCGCCCATTACAACTACACAGGTGACTGACAGCACATCTAAAAAAAAGGAAAAGAAAATTGTGTGATTTTTTTTTTTTTAAAGAGAAACTTTGCGCACTCCCATCAAAATGCCACTTACCTTTCATGGTCTTTTATCCAGGAAAAACATACTCACAAGCCCAGCGAATCCTGCGCTGTCCTTTTCTCCCCTTGTGCTGCCATCTTTATTTACTTTGTCATCGGGATCAAGCTACCTCTTCTGGGCTCTTGCAGCCGGCCTCCAATGATACTGAAGGATGATTGGTCTGCTGCTGTGGCGAAGCCTCCTGCTACCCCATGGGATGTGTCGGTGTCCCAGGAGGCTGCTTTGTGATGGGGGCAATGTTGACCATAAATTAAAAAGGTAAACAAACATTCTTTTGCAAAAAAGTTGCATATTTTGGTGCTGTGAGGATTGGGATGGGGGGGGAAAGCAAATTTCTAGTCCCAAGGTCCACTTCTAACATCTGTGCAATTTCTGTGCAGCTGATCACTTCAGTAGGAGTTCAAAAAAAAGTTTATGTACATAAAATCTCATTGGATCTCATGTAGGAAAGTCTAGCCAGGGTTAATCGGTTGTAGAGAAAAGATAGCTGTGGTTTATTTTTTGCACACAACTCGGCTACAATCTGCATGTGCCCATCGCTATTCGCAAAGCTCATCCTTTCACAATGCGTTTTAAAGCAGGTGAGGGATCTCTAACAATTTTTCATCCAGCGATCAGAAGTCGCTGGTGTAGCCTTCCCCCGAGATCTTCCATAACAGAACAAATATGGAGTTTGCCGTGTCAGGGAAGCCTACCCGGCAGATCACAGAGGATGCTTCCCTCTCGTATCACTGAGATGAGTCAGTGCAATGTGCGGACAGAGGAGGATCAAGTCATAACTAAGTCCAGGATGTAAGACTCCCATGGTGGCAGCACACAGGAAGATCATGTCATAAGTATGCACAGCTCTGCCCACACGAAGAGGAAGCCCCTTCTACTCACTATAACCCCCAAACACAGCAAATCAGCGAGCCCGCTCACACACATAACCCACGCTATCCGCCAGTTGGTCAATCTCCGGCGCACACTATTGCAGGCCATTGTCAGAAGGGGAAGGGCAGAGGGACCGGCTAGGTACACAGGAGGGCTGGGCCGCCTCTCCTAAGCCAAGCCGGTGTCCCACGTCACGCTAGAAGGCGAAGAGCGCACCTTACTTCCAGGGGTGCCAGGCTCCGAGCTCCCGCTGTTGTCCGCCTCCTGCAGGCGACTGAGCTCCACAACACACCTACACAGGCAACGGCTGCGACCACGGCCCCGCCCACTGGAGGCGGGAGGAAGGGCGGCATGGGAGCAGCAGGATTTACGACTACGGAGTGCCTGGGGTCGTCACCGCCCTGGCCTGCACCGGAAGGACTACAGTTCCCAGAAGGCTGTGGGCCGCCTAGCGTCACCGTCTGCGAAGCTCGACTATAGTCTCTCCGTTGTGTCTTGTTCAACGCTACCTGGTGAGCAGGAGATGCGTGTAAAGAGCGCGGCCCGGGATGAACTACACTTCCCACAATGCTGAGCACCAGTCGTCGTCACGTGGCGGCGGGAGGGGAGCGAATAGTGTAGAGGCGAGGCTGCTGATGTAGACCTACATGGGTCAATTTTAAAAACACAATAGCTACTGTGTTGCGCTAAGCTCAGTAGCAGAACTAATAACCAAAGGGCCCTGGTGCAAGATTTTACCTTGGGCCCCCCTCCCAAGAATAGATCACATGCCTACCTGCAAGGTAGGCATGTGAAATAGAGAAATAGATTATAATAGGGAACATTACAGTGTAATCTTCCCCATTATAATCCACGTGTCTAATTACATGAAAAAGCATGAAATACCAGTACACAACTACTATTCCCCCTCCCTCCCCCCGGGCGCTCGAACTTACCCAGCCAAGGAGTTTCGATGTGTGCACTGCAGGGGGCGGGGCTTGTGACACACACACGCTTCCTGTGACTCACCTCCCCTCCCGCCGCCTGTTACTATGGACGCGGCCGGGAGGAGAGGTGAGTCACAGGACCCGCCCCCTCACTGTGAAGCCCGTCAGCAGTGCGGGGCCCCGGTGTTCAAACACCGGGACCGGGCACTGCCATATATTGCAGGACCGGAACGCACTGAGGCTGTGGGGGTGCCCAGGACCGGAACCCCACTGGGCCTCCCACAGCCTCAGGCCCCGGCACCGCCTGCACCGGCGGTAGTTCCGCCACTGGTTGTAGTCGGTGTATAGATGGGTCAGACTGTAGATAGAGAGGGTTGTAGTCGGTGTATAGATGGGTCAGACTGTAGATAGAGTGGGTTGTAGTCGCTGTATAGATGGGTCAGACTGTAGATAGAGAGGGTTGTAGTCGCTGTATAGACGGGTCAGACTGTAGATAGAGATGGTTGTAGTCGGTGTATAGATGGGTCAGACTGTAGATAGAGATGGTTGTAGTCGCTGTTTAGACGGGTCAGACTGTAGATAGAGATGGTTGTAGTCGCTGTATAGATGGGTCAGACTGTAGATAGAGATGGTTTTAATCGCTGTATAGATGGGTCAGACTGTAGATAGAGAGGGTTGTAGTCGCTGTATAGACGGGTCAGACTGTAGATAGAGATGGTTGTAGTCAGTGTATAGATGGGTCAGACTGTAGACAGAGATGGTTGTAGTCCGTGTGTACACGGGTTAGCCTGAATATAGAGATGGTCATAGACAGTACATAATACATCTTGGGTCTTTGGAGTAAGAGAACAGAATATGCGACACAAACCTCCAGATTTTGCCCCCAGAGGACCGCCATATCCTGGCTGTTGGGCCCCGGCACCTTTAGACCCCGTTCACATTGAGCGATTTATCGCGCGGTAATTCCCGCGATATCGCGGCAAATTACCGCGCGATATTGCGCTCCAATGCAATCCAATGGGGCAAAGGGTCCTGCTGTCGCGGGTCGTGTGTCGCTACAGCAGGACCCTTTTTGGAGCGGATTTAGCCGCGATTCAAGCTTGCTCAATGCAGGCTTGAACGCGACATCGCGCGGCAAATCTTGCGATGACGCGCAATATGCAAATCGCGCGACAGACGCACGATTTGCATATCGCGCAGTGGGAACGGGACCTTATAGAGAGAACAGAAGTAGGTTCAGGCATAACAATCTGGTGGCAGTTGGGTGGTTAGTACAGACAGCTGGTACAGACAGGGGGGGTGCAGTGGAGTCTGTACAGAAGGTAGGAGAGGGGCAGTGTTAGTTGGTGGTCAGTTAGGGGGCAGTTGGGTGGTTAGTAGACAGCTGGTACAGTCAGGGGGGTGCAGTAGAGTCAGTACAGATGGTAGGAGAGGGGCGGTGTTAGTTGGTGGTCAGTTAGGGGCAGTTGGGTAGGCAGTACAGTCAGTGGAGTAGGTTCAGAAGGCCCCCCCTAACCCGGGCGCTCGGACTTACCCAGTCAGGGAGTTTTGATGAGTGCACTGCAGGGGGCGGGGCTTGTGACACACACACGCCTCCTGTGACTCACCTCCCCTCCCGCCGCCTGTTACTATGGACGCGGCCGGGAGGGGAGGTGAGTCACAGGACCCGCCCCCTCACTGTGAAGCCCGTCAGCAGTGCGGGGCCCCGGTGTTCAAACACCGGGACCGGGCACTGCCATATATTGCAGGACCGGAACGCACTGAGGCTGTGGGGGTGCCCAGGACCGGCAGTAGTTCCGCCACTGGCTAAGCTCCATATATCCTTACGTGAAAAATATATTAACAAATGTGTCTAACTTTTCTATGTTGCCTGTTCTTATATAAATACTGAATATTTTAAACTTCAACAAAAAACTTAGACCGTGTAAACATAAATCAAATCCTGTTGTCATATCCAAAATAACATTGATAATAGTACAAATAAATGTATGATTTTAATTGTGTTTCCACAGAGTGATCAAATTCTCCACACATGAGATTAGGGAACAGAGAAGAAGGTAGTCAATATTATCACACAGCGATATATACGGTACTCTTCTGATGTTTCTTGCACAATCATCCTAAATGTGCTCTATGATGCACTCACCAGATATCTGCAAGATCCTGCTTTCATAGTTAGATGTAGATCATGAGCGCCTTTCTCCAACTAATTTCTCTCCTCCACTGTGTTCGTCTATGGGTACCTCTCGTGGGGTTAGGGTTGCCACCTTTTCTTCCAGCGAAACCCGAACACTCCAGCGACGCACAGAAATGTTTTGGGTAATATGAGTTGTGGCGTATTCATATGTAAATAGCGTCACACATTTATGTGTAAATATCACAGTTGAGACTAATTTTAGTGGGGGCCCAATAGCCCCTATCTTAATTTTGGTTGCCCCTGTCTGCCTAACATCTTGTGTCTGGGTTTCAGCTGCCATGAAACCTGGACACAGCATTAAAAACCCGGACTGTCCGAGTGAATCCTGGACAGGTGGCAACCCTACGTGGGGTCCAGTCTCCTTATCACTGATTTTTTGCTGTTAATCTCCTCTTTATACTCAGTGATAGTCTCCCACAGGATTTCAGAGGAGACAAAAAGAGGGGCTTCCATTGCGCAGTATGTTAAAAGAAAGTGGTTTTATTAAAATAAATATATTTTTTCATCAAAGTTTTGTTGCAGCTGGTAACATTCACTCACATAAATCCTAGAGCAGCCTTCACTGATATCAATTTTAAAAAACACATTGTCAGTGGAATATTAGTACCTGGGAACTTTCGAAAATCAGTATTCTTGAGAATAGGGGGCGGGACACTAAACAGTGGAAAGTAGGGTGGTAGAGATCATCAGCAAGCTATACGTAACCCTGCAGGGAGAAATGCAGTTTGTCATGTATATCAAATAGAAATACAGCGCTAACTGTTAAAGTGTGAATAATACTAAATCAATGTGAATGTAAACATATACACCAAATAATCTTACATGTAACCAATGTGTTAAATAGGGTTATAAGTGAAAATGTTAATAATTATTAACAGAAAACCCTCTGAGCAACCATTATAAAGGATAAATGGTGCTGTTTAACATAGCATACGTGACTTTCACAAGTAATCAACAATTGAATAAACAATGAATTAAGTGTTTCATAAAGGTCTATTCAGTAATGTGTCTCTGTGAAATACATTTAAATTCTTTATTGACTGAGAAAAAAGTCAAATACAAAAAACCATTGTATGTGGTTACAGAGTATGGGCATAAATTCCACGGAACTCGTAATAAAACGGATTACTCCGCATCAAGGTAACATAACCCGACTGAAAAAAATCATAACAGCTTAGTACAGTCGTAGGTGCATCAACCGTCCCATTCAGCCGTAGGTGCATCAACCGTCCCATTCAGCCGTAACAATTCAGTACATTAAGGCTCTGCGACTAAGTACTATTCTCGGGAGAAGACAGTGTCTCTTATTTGAAGAAAAGGTAATAGCAGAAAAAAGTGAGAAAGGGTGCAGAGAGGGTGCAGAGGGTCGGGTCCCAGCCGGGTCCCACGACATCCACCAGGGTCTAGGCGCCCACAGGAGTCAAGCGCCCCCTTAGTTATTCCCGGGGCTTACAAACCCTCCAGGTTCCTCATGGCAACCCCTGGGACAGAGTCCAGGTCAAACCGGCTTGTGAAGGTGGAGGGGAGTCCCGGGCAGAGATTCTATAGCACAACCATGGGCTCCAGGTGGCATTAAAGCGAGCTTTCGTGTTTTTTAGGGTGGCAGTTAGGTCCTCAAGTTGGTATATATCTTGGACTTTGGAGAGCCATAATCGGACTGAGGGTGGGAGGGGATCCCGCCATCTCAGGGGTATGCACGCCCGAGCTGCATTCAACAGGTGACGTGTCAGGGAGCGTTTATACCTGGGGATCGAGTGTTTAGTCAGATGCAGTAAACATGCTGCTGGGTTGTCCCTGAGGTCTGCCCCTGTCAGTGTCTCAATCAGCTCCAGTACTTGCCTCCAGAATGTCTGTATCTCAGGGCACGTCCAGAAGATGTGTAACATCGTGCCCGACGCCCCGCCACACCTCCAACACAGGTCTGGGATCGAGCTGTTCATTTTATGGAGCAACCACGGGACCCTGTACCAGCGTGTCAGAATCTTGTTTCCCGACTCCTGGTATCTATTTGCTACCGAGGCTTTGAATGTCATCGCCAGGATAGTTGCCCTCTGTGAAATGCATTTAAATGAGAAGAAAAATCAAGTCTCTGTGATTAATGATGAAAAAAATCAATAAAAAGGTTTTTTAACAATGCAAGAAGTCTCTGTGATGTTTTAATTCGTTCCAAAAGAAAAAATGACGCAACTTTCCAAGTATTCAGTGATGTACACACAATCCTTATCAGGGCTGTAGCTACCATGGGGCGAGTGAGGCACTTGCCTCAGGTGCAGCTGAGAGGGGCCAGCCAGGGCCGGCCTGG